TCTCATTGGGCAACTTTTGAGAATATTAAGGAATTAATAATGGCATTAATTAAGGAAGTAATTAATGAAAACTGGAAAATATAGCAAAAAAAATCAAGCATTTATCCTGCATTTTCTATAAACTTTGCTTCAATGAGCCCAAAGGGTAGATTCTCTTTGTAACAAAAAGATGGCAAAGAAGGCTCAGTTTGAATAGCAACCTTTGGTAACCACTAATTAATGGCTGGATCTGCACGATGATCATTGTGTCCGCTGACCTGCAAAAAAAAAAAAAAAGCACCTAGAGACCGTGCATTTCCTGATGAATCCATGAAGTAGATGCTGCCCCCACCCCCAAATCAAGCCTGGGTCTAATCAAGCTCCTAGATCTAACTACAATTTAGCAATCAGCAGAATTCGGGCTGTGTGGAACTCTTAAGGACAAATAACTTGGTTTCTTCAATAAATAAATCAGAGAGAGAGAGAGAGAGAGAGAGAGAGAGAGAGAGAGAGAGAGAGAGAGAGAGGAGGAGGAGCAGGCAAGGGGAGGAACCTAAAAAAATCTATCAATATTTGCTCCTTTGATTCTATTTCAAAGATTTTTGGTCTAAATTATGATGATAAGGAAACTTTGTACATTGTATCTTTAATGATACTAGAAATTACTAATTTACTCATCTGTTTAGTGTTGCGAAGGTTCTATTTTAAAAATGAGGCTTACCTTTAGGATTTGGTAGAAGATTTTGTAACTCACTGAAGAAGCAAGTGTGTGGCATCTCTTGGATGACACTCCAGGTGGAGGCTGGGTGGCGCAGGTGGGGTCAGAGGACCCCGTGTCCCTGAGGAGCAGCGCCAGAGGGAGAGGCACTCAGAGAGTCCTGCTCTTCCTCCTCCTCCTCCTCCTCCTCCTCCTCCTCCTCCTTTTGTATCTGTTGGTGTTTTTCACATGAAGAGCTTAACAAGTCTCTCGAACGGCGTCCCCACATACTCGGAGCCACCGAGTCACAGGCACCAGGGATGATTCGCCTGCCTCAGCATCACAGAATGGACCAGAAGATGCAGCCGGGAGTGACCTGGTGAGGTGTGTGGCCTAGGTGATGAGTGAGATGGGCGCTTCCTGCCCTGCCACTGGGCCACCACCCCACCCTGGACCCCTTATTCCCTGTCACCCCACCCCAGCCCCTTGAGGGGCTGCATCCAGACTGAGTCCCAATCTTTCTGGCTTTCTTTTTTGCTTTAAAAGAATCTTGAGTGATGAAATATTTCAGATATGTGGGAAACAAAAAGAACACAACGCTAGCAAAGTCACCACACAGACTTCTAAAATGTGCATATTTTAACATCTTCAGATTTTTTTAAAGTGATAAAATGTGATAGGCAGGGCTGAACCTTAGCCCCCTCTCATCCCCCCCCCACCATAGAAAACTACCATGATCATGATGGGGCAGGGTGTGCATCTGCTAATGGGGATGTATCTCCATGCTCAAATATAGCATTGTTTTGCAGTGATTTATGTTTTACATGAATAGAATCATATATTTCTCTTTGCAACTTGCTCTTTTCACACAACAGTGTGTTTTTGAGACTTATCCAAATTGATATATAAAAATCTGGCTTATGCATGCTAATGCCTATGAACAATTCCATTATATAGGAAAGTGTAGAGTTTTTATGAAAGTCCATTCCCCCATTAAATGGACAGGTGGGCTTGCATTACTTTTGCTCAAACAAAGAGCCCATAAATATCCCATAGCCACCTCTCTGGAAAGACACTGGAGAGTCTCTCCAGGCTTGCAGCCCTCGCCTTCTCCCCCCCCCCCCCCCCGCCTCTCGCAACTCTGCCTGGACCCCTGGTCTCTGCCCGAGTGCTGCCTGCTGTCTCCCCAGCCTGCTCAGCCTGGGACCCAGCCTGGCTTCAGGATTGAAGGAGGTTGGTGTGGCAGGCAGCAAGAATTGGAATTGAGACCATTGTGTTGAGAGCTAGATAGGGCTGGGCCAGATGAGCGTGGCAGGGTCCCCTGCCCGCCTCTCTGTTGCCGGGCGAGTGCCTCAGTTCTGTGACAGCTCCTGTTGACATCTTCGAAGACCCCATGGAGTGGTCATTTGTACCACGGTTGATTCACTCATGTGGTCCAGAGCTCCGTGTGGATAGACATTGTTATTGATCTTGGCATCTTAGCAGCTTGCGTCATACCTGGCACAAATTGGATTCTCATGACATGAACATTGGATAGATGGGTGGGCAAAAAGATGGGTGGATGGATGGATGGATGGATGGATGGATGGATGGATGGATAGCTAGATGGATGGATGGATGGATAGATGGACAGATAGATGCAAGGTTAGATGGATGGGTGGATGAACGAGAAGGTGCGTAATGGATGGATGGATGATGCAAAGGCAGGCAAGACAGGTGGGAGAGTTTAAGGATGTTCTCGAAGCAGGCGCCGGTTTCCACGACTATTTTGAGCTTCCTCCTTTCTAAGAGGAGTTTCTTCATCAGTTCTGCAGGGGGAAAAGACAGGTTGTCTCCCTGATACTGATCCTCTAACGAGGCCACTGAGTCCTGTCACTGAACAGCTACTTCCCTGCTTCCTGTCTTTCCTCAACCGAGACATGAGCAAGGGGTTTAGGAGAGGGGATAACTCTGCCCATGCTGAGGTTGGGATACCTGGGGACATAAAAAGGGAGGGGCTGAGAGGGGTGGCCAGATCAACTGTTGTATGGGGTACGCTGAGCAGTGTATCTAACCCGATGAGAACTAAGACTATTAAGCTGCCTCATAGCCACACCTGCTTCTTTCTTGCTTGGATTTTGTTTCAAGCAACACAATAGAGTCCAAAGAACTCCAGATGTCACTTGCTGGCACTACCCAGGCACTGTGAATTAAAAGACTAATTCTAGGGCTAATGAAGGGTCACTGATCACTAGCACTGCCCCAACAGAGGATGCCATGTGTGCTGCCCTCTAGAAACTGGCCTCGCTGGGCAGACAGACCGGCTGACAGGTGCAGGGAATCCTGCAAGTATTGCTTGGTGATAAGTCTGCATTTTTGCGTTACAGCAACAGTTAGGAGGTAACTTTTAAAAAACCTAGAAGTGAGGCATGGTGGCACCCGCCTGTAATCCCAGCACTAAGGGGCTGAGGCAGGGATTGCTGCAAGTCCAAGGCCAGCCTGGGCTGCACAGTGAGACTCTGGCTTAAAAATAAGCAGAAATAAACACAAAAAGCTAGAAAAGTGGTAACAAGGCCTCCTGTCATCCTGTAGAGAGGGTGAGCAATCCACAGGGACTAGAAGAGCACTGTCACATGCACAGGAAACACAGAGCATGGAAACGGATCTACAGTTCAGATGTGGGGGAGGGTGGGCTGAGGTTCTGGCTACTAACAAGCTTCACCAGATGCCTGGAAGGAGCGTGCTGGGGAGAAGAGGCAAAAACAAGGAACCTGTCTGTAGAGGAGACAAGGAAACCAGTGCCTCCTGGAGGCTCTGTCCTGCCTCATCTCTCATCTTTCTACCCTTGGGCCAGGCCCAGGAAACCAACACAGAACATCCTTTCAGACACTATCTTCCTTTCCTGGAGACGGGAACAACACTGGCTATATCGCCAGTTGGTTATGCCCAGAGGTGCGTCCAAACCTCAGACATGTTCCTCTGCTATCCACCTGGCGCGTATGGACCCTGCCTCACTCCTATTTGGCACTCAAGTGCACACTCAAATCCAGGCTGGCCCCCTAGCTCTGTTACAAACCACAGACCAAGGGCAGTCCGGAGGGGCGGTCTTATGCAAGGCCACAGGACATGTCCGCACATAGCTGATGCGACCCCTGGGGGCTCAGACGGAGCTTCCTTCTGTGGGAACTTCTCCATAACCCTGAGGACCCTGAGACCCCTGAGAGTAGGGAGAACACCCACCTTTTCTAGGTGTAATGGTAGCACTGTATTCTGAGACCATTTCTCTTTTAAACGTTACCCCCTTCCTTGTATGCAAGGGTAGCAAGAAACTATTTGTGTTGATTTATGATTTGGGCAAATAAGGAGCTATGTCCATGGAAAGCCTCATTTTTACTGGAGTTAGGGTCCATGTGGCTAAAAAACAAAACCCAGGGCTTCTTGGGCTCCGGCTCTCCCCTCTACCTCTCACCATGCCTTGCTCCACAACCTACTGATATGCCTTAGGTCAAAAGTGCTGCTCCCGACACTTGTTCAGAGATGAGGCTTTTCAGAAGGCAACTGGACCACAGGGGCATGAAGCTCAATATATCATGAACAGGGTTTATTGTAGCTAAATGCAGTATCAGGCAGGGTGACCCAGTTGGATAAAGTGGCTTATTGTGGAGTGTATATGCGTATTTCTATCCCCAGGCCTTTTCTCTGCTTCCTGGACGCCATGAGGCAAGTGGCATCCCTCCAACTCACCCTTCCACCGTGTTTGTGCCTTGGAGGTACATGTACCGCACCCTCTGAGATCCTGAGCCCAAATAAACTTTAAATTGGGTGTCAGGCATTTTGCACCAGCATTGTAAGTTAACATTTACTTTTCCTGGCTGCCCCTTCTGCAAATCCTCCTATCTCAATTATCTAAGACATCTCGTTGTGACCCAGGGACTGAGGTCTCTTCACATTTCAGTTTATTAAGCTGACAGGGATTCTTTCCTGTTCTTTCAGGGTTCTCATGTTCTCAGACCCCACAGTTTCACTTGAAGTTCATCATTTGACTTCCCCTGCCAAGATGTTTTGCCAGGACAGTTGTAACAGTCGCTGGGTGTTGTCCTGCTTGTCTTCCCTGTCATCAGTATAAAAGCAAAGCCCAGCTCCCACCCCACCCCACTGCCCAGCATGTTGCAGGGAGGTGACACAGGCTTAGTTGTGGACTTCACTTCTCACAGCCAGCCTGCACAATGAGACTTCTTATGGGGGAGGGGCTGGGGAAAGGCAGGGATTGGGACCCTGGCCCTGGATCTTCTTGTGGATAAACGACACACTGGGGGGAAAGCAATTAAAACACAACAATCAAACCAACCTTTAAATATTAACTTTTAAAAATATAAAAACAGCTCATTACAATGACTTTTCTTTTTTTGTTTTGTTTTTTCTCTCCAGGAATAAGTTTCTTCTACCCTCGCCCTCCCTTTTGGCCAGAACCTTAACAAGAAGTGACAGGTGATGCTCTGGGACCCAGGGAGACAGAAACCCTGCACCATACACCTCTCAACAAGGTCCAGGGCGGCCTGCTGGCTCCATCCATCGTCACATCCCGCCAGAAGGCTGTGCGGCCAGGGAACCCTGGAGACAAGCAGTTTTCCTGGGAGCCCCTCCTTCCTCTGCACCAGAGCAAATCACGTTATAAAATAATCCATAAAAATGCGTATAAAAATTATCTTCCATATGCTACATCCACAGAGAGCCCACCACCAGGAAATCACATGGCCCTTTGCTTTTCTTTTAAAAGAAGGGAAAAGAAAGGACAAAAACAAAAACAAAACCCTAATACCTTTGAACACTTGCTACAGGACACAGCATTGTCCTGCAACCTCTCTGGCCCATGAAGAGCAGAAAGGCTGCCCGGGTCACCTGTGTGCCAGGCTGTTTCCCCAAAGTCCGCAGCCCACTGCCCTGCCCAGGTTGGGGTACAGGAAACTGCTTTTCAGATTCACAAGTCTGCAGGTTAAGAGGGTTTCTCCTCCCAGCAGGAGGCGGAGGGGCTGAAGGCAGGAAAGGGGCGAAGGCATTTTATAAAAGGACATCGCTTCTAATTCTTTTTATTCAAATTAAAAAAAAATAATGCACCCACATCAGTTGCTGTTTGTCTCTGGTGGCTCCCTGAGCTGAGTGGCTATGCTTCCCTCTAACATGAGTCCTCTGCAGGCCGCCCTTGAAGGTTAGGAAAAGCTGGGGAGTTCCTCAGAACCTCCAGTCCCCAAGTGGGTGAAGAGCTTGCACCAAGAAAGGAGGGCCAGGGGCACACAGACAGACAGACAGGGGAAGATGCTACATTGGGGAGAGACCCACAGAAATACCTAATGCTCTGCAGACATCGGCCCAAGTCCTGTCCACCTGTCTGTCTGGGGCTCCATCTGGACAGGCTTCTGACACTGCCCAGAGTGCCACAGGTGGTACCTCAGGGCATCTGGCTGCAGGTTGCAGTTCCCCACCACACCCCAGAGGCTCTCCTCCCATTCCAACCCCCCTTCCTGTGTTGCTCCCTCCCCTGCCCACTTTCCCCATGGGAAATTCAGTTTAAAAAGAAGAAAAAAGAAACAAAACTTTTAAAACAAACAAGCCACCACCACATGTGGTTTGCAAATACAGCAGGCGAAAATACACGGCAAGGTTCCGGTGGGAAAGGGCCACCTCCCCCACTGGCCAGCCCCAGATAGGGGTCTGTTATTTACATTTTCACAAGCCTTGTGCACTGCACAATTGGGAACCAGATTCCCCCCCTCCCCAGCACAACAACGTGGTCCACTCCAGTGTTCCCGACCCCAGATGGGGAGAGGACAGGGCAAAAGAAAGGGGAAGAAGAGACGACATTCATGAAGATGTCTGTGGGGGAATGGGAGGCACAAGCCTCCAAAGAAATCTATTTGTAGCATCTGCCAGCATGGTTATGGGGGAGGAAGAGCAAGTCCATCGGAGTTCAAGAGACACATCGGTCCATGCCCAGAGTCCAGGCCGTGACGAGCCACACCCACTGCAGCCTGAGGACCACAGCCCACCTAGATCACCACTGCTGGCGGCCTGTTCTCCGCGACCCCGAGGGGGCTCGCTGGGTCTCTCTGTCAGTGCCGAAGCGGCTTCTCCCAGAGTTTGACAGCCCTGTTAGAGTCCTTGTTTAGTAGATGACCTCATAAACCGTGGCCTTCTTGTCACCAGAGCCTGTTACAATATATTTGTCATCCGCTGAAATGTCGCAACTCAAGACAGATGAGGATTCTTTAGACTGGAGGACGACGAGAAGCAGGAAAGCATGGGAAGGAAAAAAAAGACAGGAATCGATTTGCTGAGTTTTCCATGAGACTCTGCCCCCTCTGCCTGCCTGCCTGCCTGCCTGACAGCTCTAGCCCCTGACACGAGATCCCACCTGCCCAACCCTCTGTAAAGAGCAGCAGGACGTCACAAGGATGGAAATAGGAAATGTGGCCTCTCTTCCACATTGCAGCCAGGACCATCCTGAGCTATGACACTCTGTGTAACCAGAGACTCAGAGGCGCATACATGACACACGGTTCACTGGCCATTGCAGCACAAGGGGCTCAGGTGCATGAGGACGTGTGTGTACATGTATCCACGAGGCAGGGTGCCACTGAGGGGGAAGGGCTGCTTGAATGTGGCCCACATTTGCCTCCTGGCTCTCTCTCTCCAGATCCCATATGAGCCCTGCTTCAAAGTCCTCTCTCCTCTCAGGAGCCAGGAGCCAGAAGCCATCAGCAGCTACGCAGGTCCCTATGTTCCCTCTGCAAAAGCCATCTTAGGTCCCCAGGGGCAGGAAAAGGGACAGGCAGGTGCAATTCCAGCTCCAGGCTCTTCCTGTTGTGTCTCCTGCCATCCTTGCCCCCATGGCCAGGTGGACTAGCGATACCTGGAAGATGCTGGCTCCGTAGGGCGTCCTCCAGGCGTTGAGGAGGTTATCTTTCCCTGTGCTCACGAACCACTTGCCTGCGGGCAAAGGCAAAAGCACCATCGGGCTGCAGCTCCAGCAGGACCCACCCCGATGCGATCAGCTGCCATGGCAACATGGTGAGACCTGCTCATCAGTGCTCAGTGTTGACTGCCCACTTGCCAAGACCCACGGGCATCCAGAGAATGCCTCGCTCTGCCATCCACGGGTGGGATGGGAGGGGCTGGGTTGGGTAACAGCAGGATCTGAGGTTAAATACGGGGACCGCACTCCCGGGGGTTCCTGAAGCCAAAGTCGGTGGCTCACCACAGTAGGCAAACTTGAGGGAGAGCACACAGCTCTCATGCAGGTGCAGCTGGTACTTGTCCGGCTTGGTGTGGTGCAGGACCTCCACGTTGCTGCTCTCCATGCCTACGGCCAGCCACTCCCCGGTGGGGCAGTAGCCCAGCGAGAAGATCTGCAGATAGCCGACAAGAGGCTCAGTACCCTCCACCCCCACGCTGAGCGGCTCCCCAAAGCCTTCCTGCCTCACATCTGCCACTTGCAAACCAAACCCTAGAGCCCCCCGCTCCTGCCATGGTCCAGAGGAGGTTGCCATTTTCAGCCCATCCTGGGGCAGACTGCTGGGCTCAGGGCACCCTCTGCCTCTGGTCCTTCCATAGGAAAAACACTAAGTGATAAAATACTTAATTATTAAACATTTATAACTGGAAGAGTGGAATAATGAAAATAACAAGTTGCAATGCCTGGCATTCCTGACTGCTGTCTAAGAGCCAGGCTTAAGGTGAAGGCTTTTAGAGGAAGCAAGCCAGGTGCCCCACCACACTCAGGAGTCAGCTTCGGTCACCTCCACCTCTTGGTGGGAAAACTGGGACACAGCCGCAGAACCAAGGTCTAAGCCCACAAGAAAGGCCGGTGGTTCATCTCCAGGGCCTTATCCAGCCTGTCCCATTGCTGCTTCCTTCAGGAAGCCAGGACAAAGACTTGGGCAGTACCCACCTGTGGGACCCTCTGTCCCCTCCCGTTGCAGTGGGGTCCCAGAAGGGAGGGAGGGAGGTGTCCTGGGTACATACCTGGGAGGTGAAGTCATGCTGCTGCAGCTGGCGACCCTCCCGAAGGTCCCAGGAACGCACAGTGTTGTCCAGGCCGCCAGTCCACAGCTTGGTGCCATCGTGGGAGATGTCTATGCAGCTGGCCCCATCCGTGTGGCCCTGAAACTGCCTATGGAAGCCACGGAGGGAAGGAGGATGAGCCTCAGGGAATCCCTGACCACCAGGCTGGCAGCTACTCTAGGGAACAGGTGGGCTAAGGGGAAACTAAGGCCCAAAGTGAGTCATCATGTACCACAATCACTTAATAAGCCTAAAGCATAACTGGCCCAGTTCTCTCCCCACCCGTTGAGGATGGCCTTGTGCAGGGGCAGGCTCCCGGGGAAAGGAGAGTTTGGGGAAACAGAGGACAGGCTTCTGAGACCCAGTTCCTCCACATCACCCTCCACCCCTGCAGTGCAGGGCTCAGGCCACAGATTTGCCCATGGCCACATGAGCCAGAGACGGACAGGAAGCACCAAGAGCCAAGCTGGGCAGCACTACTGGCTGCCACTGTGCTAGGGCACAGTCGGGGATCTTTCCCAACACACACACTCCCCATCCTTCGGCCACCTCTCACAGAAGCAGGCCCACTCATCTCGCTCCCTCACCAACCCCCACCTGGCTAAGTCACCAGGCCAGACGGTGACTAGTCCGAGGCACAAACATGCTGTTCTGCTGGCCTCACCTGACCAGGGTCTGGTTGTGCAGGTCCCAGACAGCAATGTTCCCATCGCTACAGCAGGAGAAGCAGACTTTGGCATCAGGGCTGATGGCCAGGGCGTAACAGGCGGGTGCCGAGGACGTGAGTTCGGCCTTGATGCGGGGCGTGGGTGAGGCCAGGTCCCAGATGGTGAGTGTGCTGGCCTCACCACCCACAATGAGTGTGCGCCCATCAGGGAGCAGCTTGCAGGAGCGGATGTAGTTGTCCCTGTTCTGAAGGGAGAAGGGGCAGACTGAGCAGTGCGCATGTGTTCCCTCCCGGGGGAATAGAGAACTTGCATGTTATGACAGGAAGCTAAAACCATCCCTGCTTGCATCTGAGAAAACCAGGGTTCAGAGAAGTAAGCCAGCTGGCCCAGAGCTCAATCACAGGGGTCTCCTATACCTTCCCCGAAGCTGTAAGAGATGCCCGCAGCCCGAGAGGCTCACCAGGCAGTCCAGCTGGGAGATGGGGCTCTTGCTGCCTGGCTGGCTGATGTCCCAGATCTTCACGCAGCCCTTGCCCCCCGTGTAAACATGTCGAGTGGGGTTACTGATGGTCACAGCGCACACCACCTCCCCATGGCTGAGGGTGTTGATTTGCCGGGCGTGTCTCGGGATGCCAGGGCCGGCCAGGGCATCATGCGGAAAGGGCACAGGTTGCATTTGCCCGTCCGCACTTACATGGAAGGAATATGCACTGCAAAGGCAGGAGCAACGTCACTCTGATCCATTCCCATTGTCGGCACATCCCCTAGGCCCTGGCAGGGGTCCCTAAACCCTGGTTCTTCTTCTAAATCCTTTGCGTCCAGTAACCCCATATTCCTGGGACACCTCCTGCAGGGTGGTAAGTGCTTTATAGTCCTGCTTTGAATTTTTCTCTCACTTATAATCCTTGTTCCAAGGACTGGGGAACCTCATGGGCACCGTGGAATGCCCTTTGCCACCATCTGTAATGTACTCTGACATGCAGCCCTGGAAAGAACCCAGCTGCTTTTAGAAACCAGGGGTGTTAGTGGAGTGGGGGGGGGGGGGGGAATCTGTCTGTGACCCTGAAAGCAAACTGCAGAGGACCTATCTGAGCTGTGGGCAGCCTGTGGGGCTCTATGGGTACCACAGTGTATGTACACGCAACCTCAGTGTTCCAGAGACCCACAGAGTGGACGGTACAACAACCAGCAGGCAGAACCCAATGCCATTCCTGAGGCCCGCGGCAGCTCCACGCACTTAGGTTAGGAACACTGTCCCTTTCGGAGCTCAGCCACCATGTGCTCAACACCCCTGGGTTCCCCAGGTCCCTAGTTAAAGGGACAATCTGTGTTGGGAGCACACCCTGGCAGCAGGGACTGGGGTCAGATCTGGCCTATGTGCTTGGTGGTGGTGGGTCGATGGGCTGCTAGGGCTGTGCACTCTCTCCTACTCCCCACCAAGCATGCAAGCCCCACAGCCAGAGCTTACGGTTTCCCTCCTGGGATAGAGGTGAGACTTGAGGGCAGGCCCGTGGCCCGCATCGGGGGGTGAGGGTCAAAACCAACCTGCAAAGAAAGGTGAAAAGGCAGTCCCGCGTTAGTGACACAGCCACCTCCCTCTTCCCCTCCTGCTTCTCGCCCTCAGCTGCACCACCTGCCCTACCTGGCTCCTTAGGCCCGGGGCACTATCAGCCGGGCAGACCGAAGGCCCGGGAGGGCCCGGGTCAGTGGCAGGAGTGGCTAGCAGCAGCACTGCTCCTGCTCTTCCCTTCCCTGTTCCAGCAGACCCAGCCCACAGAGGGGCTGCCCCAGGGACAGCAGGCAGGGACAGGAACACAGACCCTCTCCACCAACCCGAATCCTCAGTGTTCACCCACAGTCAGGGAATCCCCCTGGGGGTCCACTCCTGCCCCCAGCCTTTCCATCCCTGCCAGCCCTAATCAGCCCCAGTCTACCTGCAGGGAGGCCGCACAGCAGCAAGCAGGGAGCAGGGGTAAAACCTGGGGCCCACTGTGATCCGGTTTCACCCCCAATGACAGCTGCTCACCTCTCCTTAGGCCAACCTCTACCAGCTCCCTAAACTCCCTACCCAGTCCCCCCAGAAAGGAGCCAAAAGGTCTACGTACAGCTCCAAAGCTCACCATTGGCGATCGGCCATAGGCAGCAGCGGCGGCGGCGGCAGCGGCGCTCATCTGGGGCGGGATGTTGTGCAGGCTGGCGTAGGCGCTGGGGCTGGTGAGGGACCCGTTCATCTCGTGGTGGCCCATCATGGCGAAGGGTGCTGCGTAGGAGCTGGTGATGGAGATGGGCGTACGCAGGGCGGAGGCTGTGGGGAGGGGCGCATCAGCGGGGAGTACTTGGGTGGTCCTGGGGGATACCCTGGCCTGGATGATGTTCCCTGGACATCCCGTTGCCCCTACATCCAACCAGACCTGGGAAACCTCTCAATGCAGGCCCTGGCTGGGGCAGCTGCAGCTCAGTTGAGGACCCTGTGCCCCGGCCCACCCATGTGGCTTCAATCCCAGCCCAGCCCACCCTTCCCAGTCATCAGAACATCCATGTGCCTACCCATTATACCTATCGGGTCCATGCCCGGAGGTTTGCCTGGCATGGACCGGAGCCCAGGAGTCGTGCTGGTGCCTGGAGTTGGGGCATCATTCCTTGGCGTTGGAGTGTTGGACTTGAGCCCGGGGGTGGAGGACTTGTCATTCTGAAGAGGGAAGGCACAGAGACCAAGGAAGACATGAAGACCGCTTTGTCCTGAGAGGTAGGCCCAGCCCCAGCCCCATAGTGGGGGCCGTGGTGAAGGTTCCCATTTAACAGACACAGCAACCAAATCTCAGGTTTCCTGAGAGCACAAGCAGCACGGGAGGACCTAGGTCAGGATCCCCCAGCCCTGGTTCTTCTACTCTGGACACCACCTCAGTTCTGCCGGGCACCTCTGTACTCCCCAGCCCTCCCCACCCCTCCTCAGAAGGTACCAGCAGGGACCTCACATACATGACCAAGGTCTTTGGTCTTGGAGGAGGGTGTGCTGCCGGAGGAGGCCACCGAGGCAGGGCTGGTTGGGGCATCTTTCTTCAGGCCTCGGGCCTTGTCTAGCCCATTCTCAGGAGGGGAGTGTGAGGGGCTGACACGGGGTGTTGCTGGGTCCTAAAGAAGGCACAAGGGGTAGAGAGATGCTATGAAGGCCACAACCAGGCTGGAGCCTCCCAGCACTGAGAACAACACACAGAGAACACAGGGGAAGGATGGAGGACACCTGACTGAGATCAAAGGTCACCCTCCTACCCTGGTGGGCAACCCATCCTTGACAATCTAGTCGGATCCCTTTTGCCCACGGGGAGGGAGACCGAAGCCGGGATGTGGGAACAGCCCCTGTGACATGGGCTGTGGCCTCGTGTGGCTTCTCTCCAGCAACTCCCACTCTACAGAGTACATGTCCCTGACTTGCAGCACTAGGAGGACAGAAGGCCCCTGCTGGTCTCAAGGATTTCTCTGGACAACATCGTAAGGTGGCACCATTAGGACCCATGAATATGCCCGGCCACCCTGCAGCAGAGCTCTGTCCCCTCCTCCTGATGTCCTAAGCCCACAGGCCTCGCTGCCCTGCTCAGGCAGCAGAGCAGAGCCCCACCCTGGGAAAGGATAGTTCCAATCCACCATCCTCCTTGCACCCCAGGCCTGCCCTTACCTCATTGGAAACATCCACCACCAGATCGTCACTCTTGTCCCCGTCACTGTCCTGTACCCAAGACAGAAGGCAGCAGGGCAGTGAGAAGAGGTCATGGCCTCCCACCCAGACCCATGCCCTGCTCCACACACCGACAGTGAACCCAGCCAAATGCCCAAGCCCGGCTGTATTCACCACACTCTGTGCCTTCTACCAGCAAGGCTCCAGGTGGAAGCCATGCTTCCTCCAGGGTGGGGTGGGCTCTAGCCCAGCCTCCAAGGGGTTCCTGTGCCCCACCATGCCCACGTGTCCAGCCCATCCGTCACAAGGCACTGATCTCTCTTGTCTGCATGTCCATGACTCTGCTGAGGGTGACCACCACAGCTTACAGAACACAGCCTAACCCTCAGGCAACCAATCGGCTCGTGAGAGCCCTGAGCCTCTGCCCTAGCTCTTACTCCTGCTCGGCATGGTGATGGCAGGCTGCCCCTTTGGCTAAGGAGTCGGGGATCTCACCATGGCCACCTATGGAAGAGCCCATAGCTCTCCCCGGGCCTCATGGAGGCCAGGATGACAGACACCCGCTCACTCCCACCCCAGCAGCTCCCACGTGTGTCTGTGACTCCCCCAACACCAGTTCCGCTGCTGCCTCTGTGGCTCAGTGTCTGCCCCTGGACTTCCTGAGCCACAGCTCTGGCCCTGTCCTGTCCTGGCTAATGCTCTGCAGACATACGTATCGGCTCAGGCTGTCCTTGTCCTCGGCTTTCCGCTTCTTGGCTTCCATGCTATAGTCTGCAGAGCCCCGGTGTTTCTCACTGGCCCGGAGACTTTCTGAGGGTGACACTGAATTATTCTGGAAGCAACAAGAGGACTCAAGGTCAGAACCTGTGCTGACGTAACCTCTCACATGCAGTCATAGACACACAGCTAAGTGCAGGACGCACAGGAGACCAGGGCAGGGCAGGACTTCGGCGCTCTGTCTGTAGACCCGACATGTTCTGGGCTGCACCAGGAGCTCCTCCCCAGCTCCCCAGCCTGCTCCCAGAAACTGGCTAGAGCATCCCTGAATCTCCTTTGTCACCAGGCATGCAATTAAGTAATTAACCTTGCAGCAAGCCACCTGCCTCCTAGCCCCAGAGGCTGCATCCCACAGATCAAACCCTCAGGACCTCAAACAAACAAGATTCTCAAAGTCAGGAAGGCATTCCCTCTGACAACCAGGAAACACATAAATGTGGGGAAGAAGCAACCCCTCCTCGTGACCCTAAGGAGTTGGGGACTGTGTCTATGGTTCCCAAGCAGCAGGAAATCCAAGGATTTCAGGCCACAGGAGTTCTCCCTCAATTACAGAGTAAATGAGGGGATACCGGCTTGGGAAGAAGATGGGCCAAGAGCTGAAGTAGAGAAACGTGGGGACAGTGTGCATCCTGTGGCTGCTTGTAGGAAGAGGGCTTTGAGCACCATGCCCCTCCTGCATGCTGCTGAGGAGAACTCTGTTCTCAAGAGCCTTGACTACATCTACCCACTCTTCTCCCCTTCCACCCTCCCCACATCCATTTTCTGAGCATCTGCCCTGGCTCAGGCCTGGCTGTGGATGCCAGGGGTGGCGGAAGGAGTGAAACAGTCCCTGCTCTCCCCTCCCTGCTCTCCCCAGCTGCCAGGCTAGCCACAGGGAAGACAAGTGGCAGCCAATCTGGGCCCCGGGCAGTGTAGAGATGCATGGCGAGGTCACAAAGGGACACAGAACACCGTCTGTTCCAGAGAGAAGGGTGTCAAAAGCAACCTTCTCGGATTTCCTGTCTCATCTCCCCATCTTATGGGAGGCCAGTGCTGCCCTGGGGGCAGGGGTCATCAGGAGAGACACGGTGGCGCAGGAGCCAGTCACCGTAGAACCTCATATCCTTTCCTAAGCCGGTTTTTCTGGGCAGCTCTTCCCTGCCAAGTTTCTGCCTGAAGCAAATTAAAATGGCAGAGTTATCAAGCCTTGAAGAAGGAAGAAAAAAAAAAAAAAAAATACAGCGGAGGTTATAATGGAACCGCAGCTCAACCTCCCTACAGCCGTGCGAGCACCACGGCCATGGCGCACACAGCCGCAATTCAATTAGCTGCTGCGAGTACCAGCAGGAAAAAAAAAATCACCGTCATTTCATTTCATTTCCTCTGACGGTGGCGGCCACCCCGTGCTAAGCAGAAATGCTTCCAGCCCCTCGGGTGGGCTGCCCCTCGAGGGTGCACAGGCAGGGAGGAGGGGGACGCTCGGCTGGCCCTGTTTCTCCCTGCGACCCAGTGTGCGGCTCAGGGAACAGCGAGCTCTTTCTTCTCCTGCAGTCAGGCTGAAAACCCTCGCCGCTACCGGAGAGTCATGTCAGGCATTTAGCGGCATCGATCCAGCCCGCCTCTGGCTGGCAGGCAGCCAAAAAACTAAGTATTTTTTATTGCTTCAGCTAGGCAAGGAAATATGAATGAAGCTACCTCTAATTGGACTCCAGACTAACCCCTCTGGGACAGCATCCAGCCCATCCACCCGGCCCCCTCCCTCTCCAACACAAGCCCTGTCCTTCCTGCCGTGGGCCTCATCTGTTGACAACCTGGTTTCCAAAGGCTCATTACTCCAGGTCTACAGCTTCCAACACCATACGCACGCGGCCCCAGTGCCCTGACCCTGAGCTGCTGGGCCCAGCTGTCCTGCCCGCCCAGCCCCGGCCCCAGCCCAGCATCTGATTCATGCTCATTCAGTTCTCCAGGGCCTGTGTGTGCTCCCGCTGCCCTGTGAGTCACCCTGCAAGGGTGTCAAGGAGTGTTACGGAGAGCTCTCAGCTGCTGGGGCAGCCGTGGGCTCCGAGCATGAAGCTTTCATGACGGGGACACAAAGCCAAAAGCAGAGTGAGGTGAGGATGTGTCTGATGAAGACAGGAGGGCCCTGGGCTTCCAACACCGTTTTTATGAGGGCTCTCTGGTCCAGGTGATCCGGACCCAGAAGGTCTTTGAACACAGCTGAGAGGAACTGGGCAGGAATCACTCCTGTGACTTATGTAGGAAATTGAGGCAGAAAGAGACCGAGAGAGCTCTTGGCATGTCACCAAGCTGCGACCAGAGCCGAGTCTATCAGTGCCCAACCTCGGCTCACTCTTATCTAAGCAAACTGCCTCTCCCCAAATGTCACTGTCGGAGGCTCAACACTAAAGCAATCAAAGTGGATTTTCAGCTTCAATTATTCCTTTCTTCTGTGCCTCGCCATTTCTGGGCTGGAATGGGGATCTGGATTTCTGAGCACGTAGGCAGGGCGAGGAGAGCAGCGTCACCACAGATGAGCAGTTGAAGACTCAGCCGGGTGGAGGAGGGCCCGGAAGGGAAGGTGAGGCAGAGCTGCCCAGGAGGCTGCCATCTAGATGGTTAGTTAACTGCCCGACCTTCCAAGTCCTACTTAACACGAGGTAATAACCAAAGCCATCCTAACAGATTAGATGGCCCCAGATACAAGCAGGGCGATGAGAAATAAAATAGCTCTGCTAATCGCTGGAGGATTTTTTATCCAGACTCCACTGCGCTTATTCACAAGGCTTATTCACTGGAAACAGAACCTCGGAGCCTCGGTGTGATCAGAAAGATTTACCACAAATCTCAGCACTGCAGACATGCAGCCAGCCGGCCCTTAATGCTTGCTTGCTAGCACTTTCTTAAACCAAGTGAATGCTCCAAACAGGGAGAAAACTCAGGCATTTGAAGAGACTGAGGATTTAGGGTCCTGCCAGAGGCATCCAGCTGCAGGGTGGGTAAGAACCTGGGCCCAGACTGTGTGACACCCAGAGGTCCTTAGATCAGGCATACCACACCAGATCCAGGCCTAGTCAGCTGACCTTTCTGGCTATTTATTTCCTCTAAAAAGGAGTTGGTGCTCATTTAACAGATGGAACAAAAGCCATGGAGCAAAAGCTGGGAGAAAGGGCTTCCCTAGCTGAAGGTCACTTAACAGGTGACAGCAATGCCTGCTTTGTAACAGTAACTGCCCCCTCTGCTGGGTCTGGAGGAGATGTGTCCCAGCCTATCAGCAGTACAGCCTTCTCCCAGCCTGGGCTCACAAACACACAGTCTCTGCTTCAGCCCACAGAGCAGCAGAGTGGACCCCAAGCCAGCTTCCATCACCCACAGGATGGCCCTGTGCCTCCATACATCTCAGGGCATCCCGAGCAACATACTCACCGTGCTGGATTCTCTCTCTTTGGGGAAGGCCGGGCAGGTAGAATGTCAGGATGCCCGAGGAAAAAGACAAAAAGGAAAGGAGAAAGTCAGTCTCCTCCGTCCAGCTGGCTTTTGGGATTTACTAAAAATCCCCTCCTGGTTTTAAAGCAGGCAGAGGCCTGGCACTCAGTCTCTGTGAGCGGACAACTGCAGAGACATGTGGTGATATTTTTCAGTTTGGAAATCAACTGTTGCAGGGCCAGTGTCCCCCTAAGCCTCGAGGGTGGGCTGCAGGAGTGAAGTGTGCCCCATTGTACTACAGGACACCAGTTCCCTCTGCAACCAGACTGGTTCTCAAAGTTGCAACCCTGGCAAAGAGGGCCCATAGGATGGGGGAACTGAGAACATTACTGTTAATAAGAAAGGAATGAGGGAGTAGATTTTTTAAAAAATTAACCCCATTATTCTCTGTGTCTTTACCAAGAAGCCCCTGGAGCCGATGGCTTACACACTAAGCAGCAGCACCTGTCTGCTCCAGTCTCTCTTCCTCTGCCAAGAGGACCATCCTACTATGGGGACAAGATACTGGGCCTCTTGCTTTCCAAGATGGTGGTTCAGGCGAAGGCAAGTAGGTGACACACTCAAGGCCTTGTGCCCAGGAGGCTCAGAGGCCACTGGCCACATGCTCCCCTCCCCAAAGTAAAGCAGAGCACACAGCTGGCAACATCTGTGCAGGGTGTGCCAAGGAGCTGGTGCTGACATGATTGTAACTACTGAGTGTAGCCACCTGGGTCTTCGTGGCAAGGGCCAAGCAAAGGGCTGGGGAAGGTTCCTTTCAATCCCCTGCTTCAAGCAACATGGCTCTAACTCTTCAGTTCACTCCTGGTCCTAGGGTGACAAGCATTTGCTGGGCCCACAAAAGGTAGCACCCATCCCGACCGTTGCCTTGCCCCAGTTTAAGCCACACCTCTGTGGTCCAGTTCATGGTGGTTCTTCTCGTCCTTCACCGCCAAGTGGGCCTGGCTGCCCAGGGCACCAAGTGCTAGCAGCCCAGAGCTGCTCCCGGTCACTGGGGGGATCCCCGGCGGCTGGAGGCCCGACGGGTGAGGCGGCAGCTGGACCGGGGGGCCGTGCGTGGCGTGGGAGAGGTGCTGCGCCTGGAGTTGCTGCTGCTGCAATGAAGTTGGTGTGAGCCGAGCTGAGCAGAACAGGTGGGGAGCCAACGGGGAGAAACACCCCCAAAACCTGTGCCCCAACTCGGTCCACATGCTCATCTTGCTGAAGGAAGTCTGTTAATGGACTGCAATGTAGATACAAGATTTACGTCTTCAAGCACCCCAGCAACCCCTGCACCTGCTTTAGGCCCGAATTTCTGTTTCCAAGCCCAAGATAAACAGTGCCTGCATTCAAGACTGCAGTTATCAGGGCTCCCACTCAGCTGAGGGGAATCATTTTGAAGCTTGCACCTCATTCGACCATGCCTTCAATGTCAGCAGCCAGAATCCCCCACCCTTCAGCAGGGAGACCCCCTAACTCTGCAGAACTCTGAGCCTGGTTTACAGAGCCAGGGCAGGCTAGAGCAGAAAAGGGTCAGGAGCTCAATGAGGTTGGGGCCACTGAAATAAGAGCTGACACCTCTGGGCATCAGTGTGGACAGAAGACATCAGGAAGGCTGGAAACCAGACGGACTGAGATGGCAATCCCAGATCTGGAGTGTATTAGCTGTGTGGCGGTCTTGGGCAGGGCCTCAATTTCCCCATCTGTCAAAGGGGGAAAGGAGCACCTACGCAGAGGGGGTGGGGCACACGGACACTACTCATGGAGCAGCAGGACAGCAGCTGGCACTGATCGTGTTACAGTGGGCCCTGACTCTTCCAACAGCCTAACACAGATCTGTCCACTCGCTGAGTAGTCTGATCCATCAACGATTCTGTGCTTTCCTACTCAACTCAACCCAGGACTCAGCTCCCGGAGCCCCAAATAACCCTTCCCACCACCAGCCTCACACTTCCTCCCTACCCCAATGACCAGCTCCAGTGGCCTTCATAGCCCCCAGTCTTCATCCTAGGACTGCCCATTGTTCCCAGGGCTGTACTACTCCTCCTCGGGAGCAGCTGGGGCCATGGGCATGCCGGCCTCCACCTCTGAACACATCTTTCCTCTCAACCAGTGCGAGAGAAAAAAAGAGAACCAACCCTTTGTGAATGAATGCCTGGGCACTTCCGAACATTCCCTCCAATCCTTCCCACCACTTGGCAAGGGAGCCTGTGCCCATTTTTTACATGGCAAATGGATGCTTTGAAGGCTGGAATAGGCAGCCAGGAACTGGCCCTAGTCCTGCCACTGTTAAGTGAGATTTGGACTCAAATCTGTCAACCACCAACCTCACAGTGTTTGTAAGAAATCCGAGGTCTAGGAGAGCTCACCTGTCAATATGAAACACCCGCTGCCAACTGCTAACAGACAACAGGACAGCAAGTGTTTGTTCCAATGGTCAAGAAACTCTGTGCCCTCCCAGCCAAGATGCCAAGGGCCAGCCTAGCCCTGCCTCAGATTAATGGCAGCCGTCAAGCTCCTGGCCTCTAAAGGCTCTCTGCAGGGAAGGCTGGCATCAGCCGCCATCACTCAAGGCCAGCAGCTCGTACGTCCAGGATGTCCTTTGTTGGGCATTTACAGAAGGCATTGGTGGCTTCGGTCCTGGGTGTGACCTCAGGCCTACATGAGACACCAAGGCAGACACCAACCTAAGACATGCTCAAAGATGTTCAACTACTGGGGCTGGGGATTTAGCTCAGCGGCATAAGCACCTGCCTTGCAAGCAGGCAGTCTTGAGTTCGATCCCTGGTACCGATAAAAAAACGAAAAAGACAAAAAAAAAAAAAAAAAGATGTTCAACTACTGTCCCAGCTAATGAGCTCTAGGGCACTCCACCTTCTCTTTTAAAGTTGTTATCTTTCAGATCTTATTACAAAAGTCATACATGCTCACTGTAATAATACTAAAAATAAGTATGGATTTAAAAGTTTGGGTTTGTTTTTTTTTTTTAATTACCTTCCAATCCTACTACTCCTTGAAGATTCCACTCTGCCTCTGTCTCTACAAACTCACTATACAAACAGGTTCTCCTCGGCCACACTGCTTTAAAACCCCATATGGATTTAAGTAGAAAATAAAGAAATGGTGTCCTTTCTCAATGACTGCTTAGCATTCCCTGGTACAGCCGTGCCATCTAGGTGCCACAGGGTCTGCAGTGGGGCCCCCTGGTTTAAACATGTTGCTGGGAGATTTTGAATTGTGCTCTTGTAACTATCAAGTACAGTGCCAGAAAGCAAGGATGGAGGTATTTCATCCACTTTTCATAGCGCAGTGAGTAAAATCCCTGAGGAAGGGCCAAGGAGAGGAGGGGAAGGCCGTTTGCAAGCAGCAACTTGGCTGGCATGTTCCACACACGATTCTGCACCTAGACACAAAGCTTACTGCAGACCAGTATCCAGGGAAAGACACAGTGAACAGTTCTCTACACCTTACTAGGTGGGTCAGGTCTCCTCTCCTATCCAGCCTTCTAGCCTTGGCCTCGCCTAAACGCCAGCCACCTTCTCTTTCCCATCTTCCTGGTCAGAATAGATCTCCCCACTTCTGACGGTTCTAATAGTTTAGAATCTGGAGCCATAGAGCCCAAAAGAGAATCCAGCTCTATCCTTTATTAGAGATGAGTTCTGGGACAAGCTGGCTGACCTCCTTGGGCCTCTGCTTTCTCATCTGCAGAATGGACATCAATCTCTTTGGGCTGTGCTGGGATCACGTGTAAAACAAAGCAGGTCTCAGGCAACGCCCACAAAGGCTATGAATAGGTTGCAGGTCCAACTGTTTTGTTCATCTCTACGCATGCCTGGAGACCTGGCAGTTTCAAGATAGCAAGGCCCTTGTCTTATGTAGCCTCTGCTCACTGATCTAATTAATGCTTCCTTCTGGAGCTTCCAATGCGGGCTCAACTTAGTGACATCTCACCACCTCATTTTCAAGGCTCCACTGGCCAAGGGCTCCCACCACAGGACGCAAGGGCAGGGTCCTAATGCAGACACCAACAGCTCTCAGCCCCCAGGAAAGACAGTGCAGCCCTCAGCCCTGTTCCTTTCACATGGCTCTCTGGGGGCTCCACGGATATCAGTTTGGGGGCTTGATAACCAGATGGGGCACAGGCAGAGCCTGCAGCAGCAGCCAGAGCCAAGGACCAGCACCACTCTCTCCACCAGGGGCTCATGGTTGTAACTGACAGAATGTAAAGGGCAATCTCATCATTAGTCGATCCCCTCAGGGAATCCAGCTCTTTGCCACACTGGAATGAACTCTGGCATGGCTTCTTATTACCTCTGTAGTTTGTGACAACTCCCTCTTCCTCCCCACCCACCCTCCTACCTCAAAACAAAAACAAAAACAACAAAGATTCCACATTAATGCTTTATGCCATCGTTCTACTATGATTCTCCAGGAGATACAAGCCACACATTGTTAGTAGACAACAGCCCTTCCATCTCCCAGTCCAAAGTCTGTATCACAGAACACTGTAAAAGAAATAGCAGATTAGGGGCTGGGGATTTAGCTCAGCGGTATAAGCGCCTGCCTTCTTGCAAGCAGTCAGTCGTGAGTTCGATCCCTGGTACCGATAAAAAGGAAAAAGACAAAAAAAAAAAAAAAAAGAAATAGCAGATTCATCATCAGCCAGCATATAGGGTCCTGGGTCACTACTGCCTTCTGGAAGTGGCTACCCAAGGGTCATGCGCTTCCTTCCTTGTGCCCAGGAATCTTGTCCTTTTAAGGATTCTGCAAAAACGTGGATCCCAGAAATAAGGAAATAAGGGCTATGCCAGCAGCCACTCTGCAGGGAGCAAGTCTTGGCTGGAAAAGGGGTATGTTTTGTGCCCACCACGACTTCCTGTGGACCAGCAAGAGACACAGTAGGCTTAGTCAGAAACTATCCTTCCCCTCATCTCTCCTTCCTGGTCCTCTCCTCATACACCATCCTGAGCTTGCATCCAGCCTTTCTCATGAGAAGACCTCAGAAAGACACTAATTGTCATGGTGACAGACCACCGGCAACACCCACACCAGTGCTGGACACATCTAACTATGGGTACAACCTCGGGCTCTTCCATTCCAAGCCTGAGGGGAGTCACAAACACCTGACCAGGCCATGCTTGCCATGTCCTCTCCTTCCATCTTTACACAATGGGGAAACTGAGGCCTGGGAGAACAAAAAGACATGCCTAAATCCTTGCTAACCCCTAGCTCAGGTTGCCAGGCTGTGTGCCACCAAGCCTGAGAACAGCCATTAGAACCTGGAGGCTCCCAGGTTCTGTTCTCTCTTCTGGTCTCTGCTTCTCAATCTCTGCTCCCTGCTCCCTAATCTCTGTATCTCTGCTCTATTGTCTATATCTCTGATCTGACCTTTAATCTCTGCTCTACACCTCTGACCTTTAGTCTCTGATCTTTGAACTCTACTCTAGATCTGACCCATGACCTTTGATCACTGCTCCAGACGTCTGATCTGTGCTCTGGAGCCCCCGGGGCTCTCCTCTCCCCCAGGAGATAAAGCATGCCCTGACTAGATCAGCCTCTCCTCCTCCTGCAGCGCAGTCAGGCAGGGCTCCCCAGCATGGTGGCCTCAGCTGTCCGTAATTCCTGCCTCACGAGGAGGCTCTGTCAGGCAAAGCGATTAGAGGGCTGCGTGCTTAATGACAGGGGGATGGCTGCATTTACTCAGAGCCTGAGAAGCAATTACCTTGAAAATGGGGGTCACAGGCCCCACTCGTTGGCTTTAATTGAATTCCAATATCTGCCTTGAGCTGCCTTGACCTAACTTGTGGCTTCCTAAACGCTACTTAAAGGAAGTGGAGCTAATCCAAGCAGCTCATCTTTCCCTATCTTTACTGCTTTCTTAAAACTTAAAAAAAAAATTTTTTTTTTAAATTTTCGTAAGAGGATTTTGAACCCAAAAGACGAGGCAGAGGAGGAGAACAAGACCTGGGGACCTCACAGACAAGGAAGCTGCCAGAAGAGGGCTGCAGACAGGAGGGCAGCCAGTATGCCGACGGCCTCCCTGTACCCCTCTACCACCCCCAAAGTCAGAGGGCACGCTCAGGAAGAGCCCTGACTGCTGCTTGGCTTCTCAGCATCTGTACAATAAGGGTTCTGGGCTAGGTGTGAAGTCCCTAACCGGGGTCTTTTTGCCCCACAGACACTAAGGCAACCGGCGACTTTTGTGGGTGTCACTAATTGACACTTGTTGGGTAAGGCCAGGGCTACTGCTGAGTATCCTACAACGCACAGGATGGAAAGAAGGCTGAAGAACCGTGGCTTAGACAATCACTGAAGACACTGCCAACCTGAAAATCTTACGATTTACTTTCTAGGGGCACCAGAACTAAACAAATCCCTAGGACACAAAAAGGGCCTGCCCAGCGTCACACGGGGGAAGAGCTGTGAGCAATACCCGAGCCTCTGCCCCACACTGACAATCCAGGAGATCCAGGAGTCATCATTTATTACCTCTTCCCATGAGAAGAAATTCCCGGGGGGGTTTCTGGTTTTGCCTTGAAATACTGAACCCACATTAAGGACAAAAACAGGAATAATGACCAGCCAGTGTCCCGAAAGGGTTAAGAGTGACAGGACCCCAGCCAACCAGTCCACTGCTTTCCAAACCTGACTACACTTCCCAATGATCTGATGAATTTCAGCAGCGGGATTCCAAGCCCCGGGCCTCAGACCTACAGTAAAGGAATCTGGGCAAGCACCTGGAATCCGAGTGGCCCAGAAGTTCCCTGGGTGAAGACACTCAGACTGTTTGAGTATAGGGAAGCGGTGACTCCACCTAGCTCCTTCATTTCAGGGAAAGAGGAAGACAGGTACACCCCAAATTCACAGTGGGGGAAAAAAATAAAAACTAAAAAACTTCTGCTCAGACGTTGTTCTCAAACATCCTCAGCCTCCCATCAAAGTAGAAGTAGAAAACAGATGCAAGGTGAATCCAAGAAATACATTCAAACTGCAAGCCAGGGAAGGGCACGAAAAGCCAGAAGAGCTTCCTCTTCCCACTGCATGCTGGGCCAGCAGGGGCCACGACCTGTGGGATGGGACTCTTAGAATACCAGAATGACCTGTCCAGCTGGCCACACGACAAACGCACAGCCACTAAGCTCTGCTGACCCAAACCCTGCTCCACAGCACAGTGCATATCAACAGTACAGAGATGGTTCTGATCCCAAATGGCCAAAGAAGGGCAGGCCCCTGCTGGGCAGGGTGGCCAGGCCCAGGGAGGGACAGGGCGGTCGGCCTGGCCTCAGTGTTGATCCCAGGCCCCCAAAGCCAAGGGGCAGTGAGACTTGTGGGCTTAGAGGTAAACTTGGGGCACATGTGGTATCCCACTAATCTGGGGACTAGTTAGCCATGAGGGAGTCACTGGGGACAGAGATTCAACCCTGTGGGCTGTTATGAGAAGTCAAAGCCCTGGGGCCGCCATTCTTTGAGGCCAGCTAAGCTCAGGGTCCACCTCTGGTTATGTTAAATGAGAGGAATAAAAGGGCTATACACACGGTGAGAGGCAGATTGGGGAGTCCACGTACCCCAATGATGGCGTTCAGCTCCGTCATGGTGACCTGCTTAGCTCGTTCCACCGCCTGGGCCACCTGCTGCTGGTGCTGGAGGGAATGAGGCATGGTTAGCAGCAGCCACTGTGTCCAGCAGAGAGGGCACAGGTGGGCTGCAGAGCACAGGGCAGAGGGGACCTCAGGACACAGCCCCAGAGAAGACAGAAAGAGACACACAAAACAAGCCTAGGGCAGTGATGGAATGGGGGCGGGGGGAGGTTCTACTTTCTTCTTTAAATCTTTCCAATGAGTACATATTATGTTTATAATCAAGACTTCCTTCTAATCAAATTACATCTTCGCATAGAGATGAGTGCCAAGGCAGCAAGAGTCAAACACCTCCCTCAACCATACAAACAAAAAAGGTGGTTTCATGCAATTTGAATATGAGCTGCAGACTAGATAACACAACAGGACAAGTCGCATGCCCAAACACAGTGCCAATGTTGTAATCATGTTAGGAAGGCACCCCTGCTTTCGAGCTGTATCACTGTCCCCAGTGTACGTACGTTAGAGGGGTCTATATACCCAACTTACGTCCATCTAAAACTACAGAAAACAAGAGAATGTGTCTCCATGGGATGAGGAATTAAAAATAGCAAACTGAACCCTAATATGAACTGTTGGATGTCTGGGTGTCACTGTGAGTTCAATGACATGATGAATGACGGGGCGGGTGGGGGGAGGCTGTGGGAAATCTACCCCTAACCAAACAGACTCTCGTGTCCCCTGGCAGTCAAACCAGCTGTTCATTTCCTCCAGAGTCCCTAGCTGGTCCCCTGGAAGACACCCTTAGAAGGTGATGTCACCTATTAGTCGCATTCCGGCCTGGCCGTTGGCAGACTGGCCATGGCCGGCCTTACATGCTCCGAGGAGTGGAGGCTGGGGATGGACTCAGAGGTGGCAGAGAACCATTTCTATCCAAGGTCTCGGATGCAGTCTCTGTCCCCATCAGACTGAGAAGGCTCTGTATATTTCTGATTGGCAGCTGCGCCAGTCTGAATGGATGGGCTGGGCTGGGCTGGGCTGGGCCGCCTTGGAAAGCAAAGGCAGCAGCAGTCAGAGAGGTCTTACCTCCTGTGACAGGAAAGGCATGATCTGGGCTAAAATTGTGTTCAGTCTCTTCGCAATCTCTGTCTGCAAAGGAAAAGACACCACATGAAGTCCCTGCAAATATATCAGTGACTGAAATGTAACGGATAAGTGGAAGTACCAACTCCTACGAACCACAAGAGCTCTGTTCTTTCCACCCCCATGAACTCCACAGCACGAAGAACCCTTCCCAGGCTCCTGACCTCCTGGGGAACCCCATCTCCTACAGAAATGGCCCACAGGTGTGGCTCAAACTGAAAAGCCTCTTATTCCAGATGGAATTCCTATTAAAACAAACCAAAACCAAAGCCACCCCCATACTCTGGAAAGACCCATGACAAGAGCAAAACACAAAACTGGTGCCCACAAGCAAGAGAGGATGCCCCTGGGGCAGCATGGGGCAAAGGGTTCCCCAGCCTCACACACAGGGGCATGCAGCTTACTGGGTCCTCCCCAATTCTAATTGTTCTCTGCTGCCTGTACCCCATACATGCCAGCAGTCCGAAGCCCCACAATTGAGTCATCTGTTTCCACCAGGGCCCTCTGTGAGCCCCGCAGAGCTCAGATCAAGAGCAGTGCTGAATGGTTAACGGACTCCAGTCAGGAAGGCCTAGGACCACTGACAGGCAGCTCTCATAACTGCCTTTCTGATCTCATTCTCAGTCCACAGCAGCCAGGACTGAGGTTCCCCCAAGCTGGCTTCAAAGCTTTCATTAGCACAGAGCAATCTTTCAGAGACAAAACCATGACAACAGCATTTAAAATCTGTGATCATCTGCATGTCAAATGATTCTGATAGAGATCTATGGGCACTAAAAAACAGGGCCACCAGAAAGCTTATCACAGACCCTGGCAACCCTGGGTCAGGCAACCCCCCTCCGACCCAGACATCCAGAAGACAGGTCTTCAACTAAATAGCCTCAGGGACGTGTGCAGCCCTGCATCCTGGGGCTGCTGGCCCCTGTGGCCAGGATCTCCACAGCCTGGGGAGCCTGCCCACGACAACAGGGTTCCTGCATGGGGACTGGGTCCTTAGTGGCAGCTCTTTGTCTGGACACCCTGATCCTTGGGCACAGGGCAAGTGTTTCCCAGAAGACACCACTCTGACACTTGGGGTGGAAACACTGTCCCTCATGCTGTAGTGTCCCAGCTGTGTCACTAACTGTCCCTACTTCCAAACATTCCTGGGGGTAAGAGAAGTGCCACCGAGCTCAGGCCCAGTGGGGCCTGGCGTTTGCAGGCTGGCGGTACACTTGCACAAGGGCACCATACCTCAAGGTCCTCAGCCTAGCACCCTCTGCTTGAGGAAAAACGGGATCCTCAGATTTTACAGCTATCTCCACATCCAGGCTAGGGACCCAGGTACCACGTGACCATGGCTGTATAGCTCAGGAAGCCCTGTGGGGGGCTCAGATTAACTTCCTGCCCCCCCGCCAAGTCACGTAGGGCCATCAGACCAAGGCCACAGAGACCTGGGTGCTCATGAAACTCAGGCTGTAAGCTTTCAGCCTGGCTTTCGTGGGGCCCAACCACCACAGGTGAGGAAGGACTCTGGCAGGTTGCCAGCAGGACCTTGTGGCACTGGGGCAGACAGAGAGGGAGTAGCTTACATCTTTAAAAAAAACAAAAAATACAGTATGCCTGGGCTTGCCTGCCTTTGAGTCCTGGGGCTTTTTGGGGAATAAGGGAGTGCTCACCCCCCACGCACAAAATTTCACCATCATCTGCTCTTGAGTATTGTACCCTTGGTCTCCTTGAAATGTAGAAGCAGGCACTTGAAACATTCGTTATCTGTACACAGGCTGCCCAGACCTGGGAATGGGCTCCCCACACTCTGGGGAGTCAGAGAATAAACCAGAAAACTCTTTACTACTGAAGATGGAAAGCTGGCCGGGCAGAACACCTCTTAACAAGAATGATAGCTGTAACTGGCACCATCAGCAAAGCCAATGCCACCTGCACTTCGTAGGGTGAGCTCTGACTACCACTCTTACTAAAATGCCCATTTTTCAGACGGGGAAACTGATACTTAGCAATTAACCAACTCTGTTAAAATGATTTCCTGCCAGGGACCAACCTTAGGCCTTTTGACAGAACTCAGAGAAATATGTTTGAAGGGAAAAATGACCATCGGGTTCATGCCCGATAGCACAGCTGATTCCAACAGCTGTCCAAAGAGCCTTTGATACAGCTTAAAACTTCTAAAGCATCAACTCTGAAAAAAGCATCAAGACGTGTGACTTCAATAATTGGGACAGGTCACAAGTCACAAACTGGAACAAGATCACATGCTGGGCAACTTCTTTTGCCAGTTGGGCATCGCCTGTTATCAACAGGGCAGCTGTGGTCCAGCCAGCAGCCTCAGCTGTGGCCTCCAGCGGCCCTGCCCTCTGCCTTGGGGCCACGGAGCTCTAGCCTTTGAGCCAGACCTTCAGAGGCATCTTGGGTGGGGGGGCAGGAGCAGGAGTTGGCTTCTTTTAGAACATTCTGGAAATAGGTGTTTGGCGAGGCCGATGCAGACTCTGGAAGTTGCTTTTCAAGTATGGTTCAAAGCAGGCGGCGCTGCTGGCAGGGAGCACAGCTTCTCAGAAGTAACTAACGTACTTGACGCTGACAGGCGGTGCAGAGAGGTGGGCACAGAGGTCCCACACCATTCATAATCTGCACTACCAACCGGGCGCTGGGAGTCACATGTGCCCTGCTTCTCTGTTGAGATTGGTAAGCAAATAAATGATGGAAAACGAGATGGGGGTGGAATTTCCCAAAGTGCAATGTGTTCTTACACTCTAGTGGCTCCCATTTGCACATTCATTAACACAGGAATATCTTGCTGTAAGCATTTTAAAAAGCGTTTCTCCTACTTTGGTCACCGAGGTCGAGATTTCAGACCTTTCCCGACCTTTGACCCACAGCACTAAAATTGGGGAAAGGATCCTGCTGTCGGTGCTCATCTACAAGACCCCACTTGCTGACCCTTTATGCTTCCGGTCACTGAGTGTACTCCACATACCGTGGACAGCCACCCCGGTGGCCACTCCAGACGGTTTCTCTGCTAATTAGGTTCAAGCTGCCCGCCTGCTTGCCCTGAGGACTTTGGGTGCAAATTTCATCTTAGCCTCTCAGCCAAATGAAAACGAGGCAAGAGAGCCCCAACACCTCAAAGAGCAGGTTATGCTCCACGGCCACACAGAGATAACCTGGCTCCTGCTCTCAGTCACCTCTGCCTCTTGCTGTGTGGCTTTAGGCAAATCATTTCCCACCTTTAGGCTTCGCTGCCATTGCCTACAAAACGAAAAGACAAACTAGCTAACCTATGAGGTCCCCGCGCCCTGATTCAGGGCTTTTGAATGCCACACCTTTGCGAACTGTCCTGTGACATGTTACCCCCCCCCAGAAGCACAGCTCCACGAAACAAGAGCACTGCATGAAGGTAAATAGCCAGCAGGAAGAGATGAGTGAATGCTAGACCGGATTCCCAGTCCTGGCTGCAAAGGACGTAAACCACTCAAATGTGTCCAATAGCAAAACTGCACATAAATGTCACACTGTCCAGTGATGTCACATTGCTATGATTCACGAGGCTGGCTGGCCAGGGACCCTCAGACTGTCAGAAGAGGGCTCATTAGGAAGTTTCATTTAGTAGGAAGCAATTTCATGTTCGTTAGGCAGGCAAGTGGTCAATCCAAGGCTTCCAGGGTCCTGGTCACATCGCTGAAATCAGGACTTCCTCAGAGAACCAGGGCAGCAGTTTAGAAAGAGGTGTTTGTGCATAATTGAGAGGAAGGGCAGACACTTGCTGCTCTGAATTGTGACTGGACACCCCGAAGCCATGTGGACACAATGGTTTTGCCCAGCTCTGAGGTCAGCATATTGCCAGTGACCTCTGGCAGGTCAGGTCCTGGTCTCTGTGCTTCAGATTACTGCTCTAGATCTTTGTGTATTTGGGGTCTCAGGCAGCTCGAGTCCACAGATCTGAGCCAGGTTTTAACTGGTTCTTGTACATCTCCTGTTCTGTGCTGTCTTGGTGCCTGCGCTCTGTGACGAGCTAGTATTAGAGTGCAGTAAAGGAGGATGAGGCCACTCCAGCCCTAACAGCCCCAGCAGCCAGGCACCACCATCATATATTGGAAGATTCCAGAGCAATGTATGAGCAATTTCAACTTGAAGTATCTCATTGCATTTTCTAAACAATTCTAAATTGCCAGGTCATCCATGGTGGACTATCAGATGATATTCTTTTTTTTTTTTTTTTTTTTTTTTTTTTTGTCTTTTTCCTTTTTATCGGTACCGGGGATCAAACTCACGACTGCCTGCTTGCAAGGCAGGCGCTTATGCCACTGAGCTAAACCCCCAGCCCCTATCAGATGATATTCTTACCAGGCAGCTTCTCTTTGGGCTGGGCCAGTAGATGTCTAACAGAGGAAGAGAAATCCAGGGAAGGGGATGGGGAAGACAAGGTCCCCTCCACTCTGAAATATAGCAGTGGTCACCCCCGCCCCTCAGCAGCCACGGGAAGCAGTGTCCCTGATCCATCCCTAATCACTTGATGATAGGTGAGCTTTCTTAAAGGCCCTCTTAGCACTGACGTATCGATCAAATTATATATACCTACAACGCCATTAAATATTTATGCTAGCAAGGATGCCGGCTGCATTCCTGATGCTGGAAGGATTGGGTGCTAGGAAAATCCAACCCCCAGCATGACCCTGAGGATCTGTCTCCTCCGGCCTTGACCCAGCGTAACCTGAACAGCACCCAGGGCCTTCCCTGGGAGAGAGGGGACAGGGAAGCACACACACTCCCCCCCAGCTGGCTCCAGCAGACAGCTGGGGCTCCTGGGTGTACGCGACCTTTGTGTACACTTCAATGGAAGAATCCACCTTCCCTTTTCTTTCAAGAAGTCTGTGGCATGGAGGAACTATGCATAGAGGGTGGGGACAAAGAGAGAAGGTATCTGGGCCGTGGACCCAAAGAGGAGTCAGCCACACATTACAGGACCTGCACTCCCCCTCCCTGGGCTGCCCTGCACTGTGAGGCTGTCTAGG